TCAAGGGAGAAGATCTGGGTAAACTTGCCCCCTCCTTTCAATAAACCAGACAGGTTTGCCAGAGTACCCAAACTCCTAACACTTGGTTTAAGTGTTCAAGTGAAAATCCACCTGAATATTTCAGCAAGATGCAAGCTATATTCTGGGGTTAAGTATAAAATGATTCTTTCTCTAAACTGGGGCGGGAGTTGTCCTCTGATAATAGCCTGACACAGTATGAAACAAATTGCTTTTTGGGGCATGCGGGTGCCTGAAACAAGAGCCAGCAGGGCAAACTTTAAAGCCACTTAATATTAAGAGTCCAGTTTAGTCAAACTTGTTTTAACTTTAATTTTCTAGTGAAACATCTTAACTTCTGAGCTTATCCAAATTCCATTAAGGATAGGTTTTCAACAGTTAACAATTACTTGGGAGATGGAGATAATTTTTTTTCTGATTTGAGAATCATGCTTTTGCAATACTTGCCTTAAATCACTAGAATAGATTTTCTTTTTTTTCTTTTTACTTTTTTAATATTTGTTTTAAAAGTGATTTATTTTAGGGGGGAGGGGCAAATGGAGAGGCGAGGCAAACCCAAGAAGACTGTGCTAAGCAGAGCCCGTTGTGGGATTCGATCTCATCACCCTGAGATCAGACATGAACTGAAACCAAGGGTCAGCCACTTAACCAACTGCGCCAGACAGGCGCACCAGTTTCCTTTTCTAAAAGACAAAACTGCAAGATAGTCCTGTATTTTGTAATATACAACTTGTCCATTTTCCTGTGTATCTGATTTGAAATTGTTACAGATAAGAATATTGCAACCCTGAACCATGAGAGACTATGGACTCTGAGAAACAAACAGGGTTTTAGAGGGGAGGGGGGGGGGGGGATGGGTTAGACTGGTGATGGGTATTAAGGAGGGCACGTACTGCATGGAGCACTGGGTGTTATACGAAAACAATGGATCGTGGATCACCACATCAAAAACCAATGAGGTATTGTATGGTGACTAACATAACATAATAAAATTAAAAAAAAAAAAAAAGAATATTGCAACCCTTTGGGATCCACTGTCCTGGGCTTAAGCTTTAAAATCCACACCCTTAGGAGAAGGGGGTTCATATTTGTATTTTTTAGTGGAATGACATCTCTACTTTGTTCTGATTTATTCTCTTTAAGGGGAACTTAGGAGAAATTGAGTAAAGCTGATTGGAAAATGGCAGTTAGCCTGTTTTTACCACAGATAGACATTTCAATATCTCTTTTCAATGTAGCTTTACTTCATGTTCATAAGATAACAGTGCATTATAGATGCTATATTTTTAGTAGTGGACCCTTCTTTATCATGCAGAGAGATTAATTTTTGAAATAATACAAAAACTAGAGAACAAATTAGCCTAAAAATATTGAGCTTTGTAATGACCCTCTCACACAAGGGCTGACTCTTACATAAGTTTTTTATTTTTTAAGCAGAGTCATTTGGGTGGGTGGGAGTGAGAGAAAATGGCAGTTTTGAAATTGTTTCAAAACTTAAAAAAGTTTTAAGGTAACTGCTTTTTACACTCTGAAAAGCTGATGATAACTTTTTTCATTGCTTGTGCCACTTTGGTGGAAAGTTTTCAGCAAGGAGGCATTAAGGGTGTTTGACTACAGATAGCATCACATAAATACTTGACAAACTACCTTAGTATTAACAGAATCTGGTGAATACTAGCTTTAAAGTGATGTCTAACATGAATTTTTACCATGACAATGCTCATTCTAGTGACCTTTTATTAGTCCTTTATTTGTTGAAAGCGTTTATCCCTTGCTCTAACTTCAAAATGTAATGGAATCTTTCTGCAAGTGCAATTTGGTATTAGTATGATTCATTTTAGACCTTTGTTTAGAAGAGATTAGTTTCTAAAGTATCAGAAAAATGACCAGTGGTAGTCTCTTTGACTATCCTATGGCCTGGTCTTGGGTAACTTGCTATAACACGAATATCAATTTATGTAGATACTTCATTTTCTGTTATTCTGAAAAGTAATTTGTAAAACTCCTAGCCTTCTTGAGTGTTTTTAATTTAATTTTGTCTTCTCAAATTTATCTAGATCTGAATATTGTGAAGATAATGCCACCAAAGTAGCCATTCAGTGTTTCCAGGGTCAGTTGAAACTGGTAATCGGATAACTCCTAGGAACTCCTTAGCAGATGTTAGATCAGACATAGTCAAATGACAGTGGAAAAAGTACTTGATATTAGGATGAGGGTAAATTACAGTTTAAGGAATAATTAGCATCACTTGAACTTGAAAGTAGTGTTACACTAGGGACTAGTGGTCTGGACTAAAGCTAATGCAATACATATAGAATGCTAAGGGATTAAAAAGAACACTTCTCAGAATGGGCACTTAAATACTTACCTGAATGTCTAATATAGTTGTCCCTGTTTTGAGGCAATAAATCCTAAACACCTGTCAAAATAAGACCTAACAAAGTTTTTCATAGTATTTGAGATGCATGAAATTTCAAAACAAGCTTACTCTAAATTTTTTATGGTATTAGTTTGATGTGTATAGTGGTAATTCATTTAACATTTGTTCATGAGGAGATATTAATGCTGTTCACATCTTTAAACTTAGCATGAACAAAGGTTATTTAATGTGTCATCTGTACAATATGTCAAGGAGACTTAACGAGAATTTCTTTATCCTGTGCATTGAATGTAGTTTATAGAAGTTGTGCTGTGAGGCATGTTCCTCTTGCTTTTGAACACTGGAATTGAAGTTTTAAAGAATCTCAAATCCATACATCACAAGACAATTGCTAAGGCAATATATATGTTTAGGTTAAGGAACAACAGGCATATTTAATTGCTTCTGTATAATGTCTAAATAGAAATGAGTTTTGAAGGATTATCCTTAAGCATTACAATTAGATACAGAAAAATTGATACATTCCTTAAAAATTATAGATCTTTAGAGATAGCTCTTGGAATACTTAAGGGTATATGCAGTCCTGAAATTTAATAGGGTGATACTTAGTGTTGAAATGTCTTTACCTTAGAACAAATCAAGAAGCCATAGGGTCTTTCCTCTTTCAGTATAAGTTAGATGGAGAGTAGATGAATGGAGTTGATAATTCAAATACTGGCATTGCCATTTTCTTACATGTTAGTTTTTAAAGGTAGAATTATAATACTTTGAAAATCTGTTATGACTTTTTCATCGTATAAGCATACATTATATTCAGTTAATGTCTTGGGCCTAAAATCTGAGACCAGCAATTTAGTTTTGTTAATATGCTCTTAGTTATATGAACTTAAGAAGTTTCTCTTACTTAGGCAAAAAAAAAAAAAATCTCACACAGGACACTTGAAGTTGTTAAATATTTAGATAGTACCTTTATCCCTACTTTATAACATCATGAATTGTTTTTTAAAGGGAAAATTATATTTCCATTTTAGATTATGAGATTCTGATATCACTAAAAAAATCTAACTGGTAAAAAAAAATCTAACCTAAGAAATGAATAGTTCACTTTTTTAAAGATTTTTTTTTTTTTAATTTATTTACTTGACAGAGAGGGCACAAGCAGGGGGCGCGGCAGGGAGAGGGAGAGGGAGAAGCAGACTCCCTGCTGAGCAGGGAGCCTGATGTGGACTCGATCCCAGGACCCTGGATCATGACCCGAGCTGGAGGCAGACGCCCAACTGACTGAGCCACCCAGGTGCCCCAACAGTATTGGTCACTTTTTAAATAAATAATGATTTAGAGCCATAAAAACAATCTTTTATTCCCTTTTTTGTTAGGGTCTGGTAATACAGAAGTATAAGATGGCCCCTTCAGAGTTATCCCAAGTTCTCCTATAAATATTATGTCCCTCTAGCACAGGTGAAATAACTTGTCATGTAACTTTTATGTAGATCATTGTTTTCAGGTCTCACCTCTTATTTTTTACCTTAGTTTTGTACATTAGACAGCCTGAAGTTAAACTATGGTGAAGTATAAAAGATCTTTGGTTTTCTATTAGCATTTCTTCACTCACTGGGATAAACTGAAGAAGTTGACTGAAGTGTGGTCTTCCTGACATTGGTGGTGAGGTGAACGGATTCTATCTGGAGTCCTTGGTCTTTCTCAGGCCTTTGTGGAGCGTTAGCTCATAATTTCTCCCTGTCCTCCCCACCCCAAGTTATATACATTGTTAGGTGAAAAACTCTTGGTGACTGAAATATTCTTAACTCCTATTTCAAGTGAGTAATCTCATATAATGAGCCAGTCCTGAGGCCACGGCCTCAAAGCCCCACTGCCAGTGTATAGGTGGGTTTCCATATTATCTGAACAGCAGTGGACTGAGTGGAACATGAATCCAGCTGATTAGTTTTATACTAATTATGTGTTACCCAGTAGTGAGACTGGGGGTGGGGGTGGGGGCGGGGCAGTAAGGGGAAGCAGTGGGATGCCAATTGTCATATGTTTAAAATTGATGGGAATATAAATAGTTACTATCTACTGAGCATCTCTTAACCTAATTAAACTGTGGGGATAAAACAAGCAGAATATATTAGGCATTCTCAATTGTTATCTAGCATTGCTGACATCAGTGTTGGAAGGAAAAATATCAACAAAAGTCAGTTGCAAGAAGGAATTCGAAGACAGGATTTAAAAAGTGAAAAGCATAAATGTAAAAATACTATTGAATACTCACACAAAACAAGTTTCTTTGCTTTAAGCAACACTAATTTTGAGTAGGGTGGTGCTTTACACACATTACTCCTTTAAAAACCTCATAACGCCTGACTTCGGTATCTTCAGGAGGATCAGAGTTGTCTTGCCCTGGGTAGCACATCTACTTATGCAGCAGAACCAAGTTACAAAAACCTTATTTCCACGCATCCTCCCCTAAACCTCCACCAACCCCGCCGCCCCCATCGACCTAATCCCGACCTGGATTTGAAATTAATTTAGTGCTATTAAATTTTGGGACAAAGGGATCTTCCCTATGGAATTGAATCTTGTTACTCCAATTAAGAACAAAAAACAGCTAAGTGGTTTACTTCACGGTTGGAAGGCCATGAAGAATTGACTGGTACAGAACTAACCCCCGGGCAGCTTTACTCTGCGTACGCCTGTAAGCCACCAGAGGTAGCCAGAAAGTGGACGGAGCCCCGCGGGAACGGGAACCGGCCGAGGCGTGCCACGCCCGGGCTGGGCAGCGCCGCCGTTCGCCAGCCCGCGGCGGAAGCAGGGTCTCCGCCCCCCCGCCCCCCGCGGCGGCTCTCGGGCCGCGGGTGCCCGCGCTGGCGGGCAGCTGCCTGGGCGACCATGTTTGGCGGGCTGCGAGGGAACAGGCATCCGGTACCGGAGTTTTATTCCCGGAGAAGGCGGTGGGACGGGCAGGCCGCCTCCCTGCCGGAGGTAAGTGCAGCCTTGGTCGCCCCCACCCCCGAGGCCGCAGCAGGCCTGCCCTGCCGCCGCCTCTCTGACCCCGCGGCTCCCGGGGCGGCTCCCCCTGCCGCGGCCCTGCCCTCGGCCCCGGGCGAGCGGCTCTCCGAGAGACGTGGCCCTATTTGCCTACGGAACCAAGACGAGAGAGGTGTACTCGGCCAAAGGTCAGAATTGAATTCTGGCTTCCTACCCAGATATTTAGATGTTTATGAAAGTTCCTCCTCAGCATCTCTAATTTGGTTGGCTGCAAAATAAATAGCCCTCCTGCGCAGAAAGCCGTCCTGCTCCGGGCGCGATCCCCGGGAAGGAGAGGCTGTGGCTTGGTAGCTACCACTACTGAAACGGTATGCTTGTCCTTTGCCTCCTTCCCCCGAAGGGCGGGGTCGGTGTTAGAGCACGCTCCCTGTTTTGAATGTCTTATCTCCCCTCCTCCGCCGAGGCTCCCCTGGGCGTCAGTTTACTGTGGTCTGAGTCCCAATTCGTAAATTGCTCTGATGAGCCTCGGGATAGTAGTGCAGACTAAGTGAAATGTCCTTCCTTCCCTTCCTTTTCTTCCTCCCCCTCTTCCTCCCTCTCTTCCTTCTTTTCTACTGAAACTACACCTGAACACAAAAATGATAAAATCCTGGCTTCAATTAAAACAAAACAAAACAAAACCCCACAACACAACATTTGAAGATTCTACATCTTTACTGAATAAAGAGCAACAAGTGGCAATTGTTAAAAGTTCATTGTGAGATGTGTATTGTAAATTGAATTTTTAATATTTGCTGCAATCATTTCATTTTACAGCAGTTGGGACTGCGATTGGGGATGTGGTACTGGAAAGATGAAACCAGAACTCTTGAATTCAGAAGGTAAATTTTATTAAAACTTTATTTTAGCTTTTATAAAAATTACATGAGCTTGGGGTAAGAAAAAAAAAAATCAAGCGACATACAAGAGTATAGCGAGCAAAATAAATATCTGCTGAAATCCCACCATCTAGAGAAAACCATTTTGGTGAGCGGCCTTCCAGATACCACTTTCTGATAACATTTATCAGCTGCTTCCTATGTAGCAGACACTGTGCTAATCAGTTTGCCAGCCCTTTGAAAAAGCTGCGTGTTCATCCACTTACAGATGAAGAAACTAAACTCAAAGGGTTAAGCAATTTAAAGAAAACTAAGTGACTTAGCCAAATAACACAGCTCACAGGTGACTAAGATGATTGAAATCTAGGTCTTTTTGGCTCAGAGTCCATATATTTTTTTTAAGACTTTATTTGAGAGAGAGCACGGAGCAGCGGGAAGGGGCAGAAGGAGAGGGAGAAGCAGACTCTGTGCTGAGCAGGGAGCCGAATGCGGGGCTTGATCCCAGGACCCTGACCCTGGGATCATGACATGAGTCGAAGGCAAATGCTTAACGGCCGGAGCCACCCAGGTGCCCCCAGAGTCCATATTCTTAACTACTTTATAAAATTGCCTCTTTGAGTTTCAGAAATACAGTTTTACATTAATGAGACCGTATTATACTTGCTGCATAATAGACAGTCAGTTCTCCAGGGTAAAATTACTAAATTAGAAAAAAACGATTTTAATCTCCATTGAGAAAATACTGACTCTATTAAAAGTGCATAACTTGGGTCACCTGGGTGGCTCAGTTGGTTGAGAGGGGTTGGTGTTAGAGCACGTTTCCCTGTTTTGAGGCTCAGGTCATGATCCCAGGGTCCTGGGATCAAGCGCCGCATCGAGCCCTGCATCGGGCCCCCTGCTCCTCAGAGAGCCTGCTTCTCCCTCTCCTCCCCGCTTGTGCTCTCTGTTGCTATCTCTGTCTCTCTCAAATAAATAAATAAAATCTCAAAAAAATTAATAAAAAGTGCATAACTAAACAAACAGTACTAGGCGCTATCTGCTGTGTACCTATTATGTGCCAGACATTTTCATGTTTTCTGATTCTTAAACAGCCATGGAAAGTGAGAATTAATACCTCCATTTTCTTTTATTTATTTTTTTTAAGATTTTTTTTTTTTAATTTATTCATTTGAGACACAGAGATACAGAGAGAGAGAGAGAATGAGCAGGGGGAGAGGCAGAGGGAGAGGGAGAAGCAGGCTCTCTGCTGAGCAGGGAGCCCGATGCAGGACTCAAGCCCAGGACCCTGGGATCATGACCTGAGCCGAAGGCAGACACTTAACCATCTGAGCCACCCAGGCGCCCATTTTATAGATGAAGAAACAAGGCTCAGGGAGATAAAGCAACTGACCCAAAGTCATACAGTCAGTAAGTAGCAAAACTGACATTTTGAACCAGGGTTTGTCTGTTGCCAAAGCCCTTCCCACCATGTACACTGTCTCCCTCCTTTAGACTGTAAGCCCCTCAGTGGCAGGAGCTGTCTTACTCATGTTTGTGTCCCTAGGATATGTCTACAGAACTTCACAGAGTATACCCTCACCAGGTGTTTATTGAATATTTCAGTAAACCAACTAGATTCAAGTAGAGGAAGGCCAGAGGCAGGGGACCAGTTAAAAAGCTAGTTGTGGGAGGAACACAGATGGCTGTAGGGGTACAGAACCGTGAGTCGGCTTGAAGTCTTGTAGTAGGAGGAACAGAGAAGGGTGCAGGACTGTGAAATACTTCAGAGTTGGAACTGACAGGATTTTGGGTAGAATTGATAAGATGTGAAGGGAGAGGGAGAAGAGAGGCTCACGCTGATTCCCAGTGTCGGGCTTGGGTGATTGCGTAGCTGGGACTGCCCTTCACTTATATACAGAATAACAGACAAAACCGGTGATGTGCTTGAGGTTACTGTGACATACTCACAATGGTCTCTTGGGCCGTTGGATAAATGGGCCTGGAGATCAGGAAAGGCTAAGCAAATGTACTTTATAGTTACATTATAAATATAATGATATTTGATGTCCAACAGTTTAAAGGCTAAGCATTATTTTAGAGTCAAAATCAAAAGTTTACATTTCATAGAATATTTGTTTCAATATTTCTGAGTTGTTTGTCATTTCCAAAGTGGTGATTGATTTCAGTTTTTTGTTTGTAGATGTGTCGCAGAAAATTCTGTCGTGTAGCTCCTGAAATATCACACTCAGTGAGTGTGAGATCGACAGTGAGAAAGAAAGAGCTTTGGGATTAGACAGCCAAGATAAACACAGGAGTCAAAGTACAAGTTAAATGCATGTTAAAATACCAGAAAATATGGATATAAATTTTAAGTGCCAACATTTTCATTTTTCAGTCTTCATGTATATTTAAAGGCCATCTCAATCCTCTCTCTCTCTCTCTCTCTTTTTGAGAGAGAGAGAAAGAAAGCAGGCATGTGTGGGGGTGGGCAGAGAGGGAGAGAATCTCAAGCAGTCTCCATGTCCAGCACAGAGCCGAGCAGGGCTCGATCTCACAACGCTGAGATCATGACCTGAGCTGAAATGAAGAGTTGGATGCTTAACCAACTGAGCCACCCAGGTGCCTCTCAATCCTCTCTTCCTATGGTGAAAGTTGGACCATACTTTTTACTTACTGACCTTTGTAAATGAAATTAATTTGCAGTATATTTCAAACTAATTTTCAGTGCTAATTTAATGGTAACCCACCCAAGTGTCACTGTTTCCTGTATGCGCCTACTAATAAATTCACAGATTATCAATTTCACACTGACTTTCTTACTCATAAAATAATTCATATTCATAAACTAGTTTCTTTTGGTTTATTACCAAATTATTCTTTAAAAATGGCTTGATTGATTTCCACTAATTTTGGAGAATATATGTGTGATGGTATGATTTAAAAGGTAGATTATATGACATAATGTTGAAAGGCCAGACACAAAAATGTAAATCTATAATTCCATTTATATAAAAGTTTAAAATAACAGGCAAAAAAAGAACTGTGATGATAGAGGTCAGAATAGTGGTTACCTTTGGGACATTATCAACTGACAGGGGGTGGGGAAATGTATAAGAGAACCTTCCAAGGTGCTGGAAGTGGACTATATATCGATCTGGGTGGTGGTTACATGGGTATATACATAGTAAAAAATTCATCAAGCTGTCCACTTAAGATTTATGTACTTTACTACATGTTAAATTATACCACAATTTTTTTTAAGGTTTTATTTATTTATTGACAGAGACACAGCGAGAGAGGGAACACAAGCAGGGGGAGTGGGAGAGGGAGAAGGAGGCTTCCCGCCGAGCAGGGAGCCGGATGTGGGGCTCGATCCCAGGACCCTGGGATCATGACCTGAGCTGAAGGCAGATGCCTAACAGTTGAACCACCCAGGCGCCCCTATACCACAGTTTTAAAAAGCAAAAAACCAAACCAAACCAAAACAACACACGAAGTCCAGACTGTGGAGTACACGAAATGGGAGCAGTTAGGAGAGAGAGGGAAAAGAATGCCATGAGGAGTAGATGGGTGACCGCTCTTTTGTGGTGGAGCTGCTCTGTTTCAGCAACTCAGCATGGCAGATCTCAGCGTATCAGGATTCCCTTGGGACTCCAGCTGCTAAGGACAATCCTAAGGAAGAGGAAAGCAGACCTTTGTATGTTTTAGGCCAGAGTTAGTGTTTGGATTTGATGGAAGTGCAGATACTGATTCGCTTTTAGAGTCTAAGCATATCCCATCACAAATTAAAATGTGAGAGGACTCATGAGCCGGAACATGCTCTTTTTTTTTCCTGAAACTTTGTTTCAGAGACTTATGTCACCCCAGTTGCTGGTGATGGTACAGGGCAGAGGCAGGGGAGGCTAAGAGGAGTCGGTGGTAGGGGTGGGAGCAGTGGAGGCAGAGGGAAGGCCTGTTCAGTCACTGCACTCAGACCTGGTTCTGTTTAGTATGCTCCATCAACCTTGACTGAGCATGTATAGGATGGGATTGCATCTATGCTCTAGAAAGCCCCTCCCACAGTAGCGTGGAGGGGAAGGTTAGAACTAGGGGCGCCTGGGTGGCTCAGGTCATGATCTCAGGGTCCTGGGGGGATGGGGCTCCCTGCTCAGCAGGCAGTCTGCATCTCCCTCTTCCTCTCTCTCTGTGCACGCTGGCTCTCTCAAATTTTTTTAATGATCTAAAAACAAACAAACAAACAAAAAACAAAAGAACTAGGGAGACACAATCAGGCAGCGATCCAAGGGGGAAGGGGACTAGGACCCGGATGAAGACTGGCAGGAGAACAGAGTCAAAGACCCGCAGTAGAGGTACTGGGAGGTAACTCTGGCCCTGCTGAAGGAGGGAGTAGTTGGTGAGACTGGCTGCGAGAGAGGGCAGGAAGCACGAATGTCCCAGTCACTGTGTGGACGATGATATTGCCCCTTGAGATAAGGAGGGAGGGAGGGCCAGTAAGTTTGTGGAGGGGGTGAAAGGTTACAAGTTGCTTTTGTAGATGTGCAGAATTTGAGGTAGCTGCCCGTGAGACTCGCAGGTCAGTAGGCAGGATTTTGGCCCTCCTGAGAGAGGCCTGAGTAGAATGAGAGTATGGAGTGAAATGACAGAGGCCAGAACCCTAGGAAATACGTACTTTTAAAAATTATGAAAAAAAAATTTTAAAGTCATTTTTTTTTATTTTAATTTTTAAAAAGATTTTATTTATTTGTCAGAGAGAGAAAGAGTACAAGCAGGGGGGAGCAGCAGGCAGAGCAGGCAGAGGGAGAAGCAGCCTGCCCACTGAGCAGGACCCTGGGGTCATGACCTGAGCCAAAGGCAGACGCTTAACAGACTGAGCCACCCAGGTGCCCCTAAAAGTCATATTATTTAAACAATCAGAAAATACCAGTAAGCAAAAACAAAAAAAGAACTTTGCAGTGCCACCCAGCAAAGTAAGAGTTAACGTATTAACATCTTATTATATAGCCTTCTAAATCTTCTATATGTGT